AGTATTTTTAAATGAAACTACATATTTTCATTATAACAGTCTTATAACTCCCCAAAAAAATTCAACGATGTGGAATATGTTGACCTTTACGTAACCTTCAACGAAAAAAAATACGTATATGTATAATATTCACATATTGTTTCAATTAACGTTTTTACTATTTTATTTTTCAATTACTTACAATGTGCCTGTTTATATGTTTGTAATTTTATCTAAGTCAAGCATCATTTTATGCGAAAATACGTTAAACAATGTTTTAATGTATTACGATTAAGTCGAAACCAAGGTCATATTAGGCATGTTTATACGAATCTTTTTTAACATTTTTATGTCCTGAATTTATCTCTGCTGTATTTCTCATATACATCGGGGCACACTATATAATAGATTAATATATACATGTTCCTAGTATATAATCTCAATGTGTTCAATGAACGATGATTAATATTAAGCGGTACAGACGGTTATACGTTCATCGAACTCTCAGTAATCTTATATATAGTATATATATAATATATAACTCTATAATATATATATATATACATTTTTTTTAACTTTTAACTGCTTTTATTTTACGAAAAGTACAAAATTCTAATTATAATTTGAATTTTATGAAATTTTACTGCTTATTCGAACTCATTATTTCATTGCATGAATTATAGTAAATTAAGAGATAATAAAGAGAATTAACCGTGCGAAATTAATATTACACTGATGTTAAATGAAAATTATAGTATTGAAATATTGTTCCAAGAATTGCTGGTTGTATAGCTCACATTCTTGGCTCACTCACCACATACTGTTTACATACGTTGGGGATAAGAGTAAGAAATATCAAGAGCAGACAAGATAATACATATGTAGAAAAAAAATTATTTAAATAATATTTATAGTTTTGTATCAATATTTCCACAAAGTTATTCCAAAATTCAAAACTTAAAATAGTACACAGTTATTTATTTTGTCATAGTGTAAAGAAATATACAGATTGCCCCGTTAATTAATACAAGAAACAAATATTTTTTCACTAAAAAATATTACTTTTTAATGAAAACCTAAGTAAAAAATAGATATAATTATTAAATAGAACTTTGTTTTCATGAAAAGCAGCTTTGAAAATTTGTTATAACATTAATTTAATTTAAAATTATTCGAATAATTTGAATTATAGTTTACCATTTTTCTATTATCACAAATAAAAAAATTGTACTGTATGAAAATTATGAAAATTAATTACAATCAGTTAAAATTATGACAATCAGTAGAAACATATATACATGAAAAATGTCTATTTATCCGATATAATGACATTGCTCGTATATGTTACCGATTTTGCTTATAACGTAAGCATTAGTATGCTCCTCTTAGGTAAAAAATGGTATATACAATATTTCTATTTATCTGTGAATTATTCACATTAGTTTTTTAATTCTTAACTTTAAATGCTAATACTTTCTAATGTAACTAAAAAAAAAAAAGAAAATGCACAGAATATTTTTCTATATTATATATACGTATTCAAATACAAAAATTTATATATATGCTATTATATAAATTGTGCAATGCTTTTTGTGCGTATCGTATCACGAAATCGTCGAATAAAGTTCATATTTGCGCGTCATTTCTATGATTTACAGTTATCCATTAATTAACTGTAGAAATTGAAATATTTTATAAGAAAAAATTTATTTGAAATAATAATTATTTCTTCTAATTGTTCATTATTTTTTACATTATCTTTTAGTATTCATTATATTATTGTGTACAATTAATTTTATAATGTTTTTTAGATATTTCAATATAAATTGAGCTATGAACTAAAAATATGAACGTCATTAATCGACAGCCAATAGCCGCAGCCGCAGCAATCACTTTCTGTTTGCTGTCTCATCTCGTTAGACAGACTATATATCCATCTGTTTTAACGATTTTAACTAATGTCATATATATTTTTATCTTTTGGATACAAGAAATCATAAATTAACGCTATAATAAAAAAAAGGTTTACCTAGCTTACAGAAAAAATTTTTATTTTTCTTCTTATGAAATTTAATCATTTTATACAAATGATTAATTTTGATTTTCTCGAAAAAAGCGTTTACTTAAATCATAATTTTATAGAAAAATAAGTATAAACTCATTATTATTAATCCTTTTTTTTAATCTTGTTAAAAAATTTAGAATGCTACTCATTTACTTGCAAACTTATTGTTATTCTAAATAAAAATGATTGATAATTTTGACATTTTTCATGGTTATAAGAAAGATAATGTTTTCAGATAAAGAAATATTGAGAATTGCAGTTATTTCATATTCTGCAATAAAAATATGAGTGACTTTAGTAAATATGAGATTGATTCTTTTAAAAAGTTACTATCCAAATTAGAATTTTTATTAGTAACTGCTCAATTACTAATAAAGCTGAAAGAAAAAAATGCTACATATACATATATACAAATAAACTATAGATACAATATAGAGTTAGAATATAAAATATGGAAAAAGAAATGTTTAAAAAATGTGAAAGAAAATTATAAACTGAAGACGTATAGAAGACGATTAAAAATTATATCACAAAAAAGACAATTAAATCGATAAATCTATCATAAAAAAATTAAAATAAGAACATACATATATATGTCTACATTGTCCCAATGAACAAATTACAATTCTTGCTCTGTATTTTTTAAGGCATATAAAGCATATAATGTAAATCTAAAAAGTATTGAAAAAAAAAAATAATGATAATAAATCAGTATTCCTCTTATAAGAAATATACAAGATGTTTATTCTAATGTTTTACTTAATTCTTTATTTATTTATTACAATGTAACACAAAAACTTACTAACAACTTAGTATGAAAATGAAATGTAAAAATATTTGTTTCCATAATAAATCAAAAATCTCCTTGAGTTCTTTAAATAGAGCAGTCAAAAGTATGAAATTAATATTTTTTTGTTTGTTATACAATATATTTTTATCAATAGTAGCATAAGACTTGTTTGATATTAATATGTGTAAGTAACATATAACAGTGACATAATAAACATAGGATTTTATAAATACACACAAATAATAAATAAAACAAAAGATTCCATATTATTTTAAAAATTGGGAAATGTGTACTAAAGTTTATATAAATGTTAATACACAAATATATATAATACCTACTTGTCAACCTACATTTGATGATAATACACGTTCCATATATTCCAAAACATTGTAAAGATTTAATAGTTCAGTATCCATATAAATTGGATCTTCTATAGATAACATTACTTGATGAAATTACTTCTTTGTCCACTTATAAGCAGAATAGCAATGCATTTCATTTAAATAGGCCCAATTAAAATTTCCAATGCATGCAAAGTTTTAATTCTACTAGCAAACAGGATAAGAATTAAAAAGTATAATGGAGGAAATTTATTCGTAGAGAATGTATATAAAAATGCAGGAAAATGATTTCTTATTTTTAAATTTATTAGATAGAATACTTTTTTATTGTACAACAGTTACGTAAAATCTTAAATTTCTTATGTAAAAGTATTATTAAAACCAGTTATATTATATAAGAAAATAAACTTTTATGGTTTCATACAGATATACAAAGGAAATACAATATACGATAACATGCTACATTAAAAATATAAAGTATTATTTTTTAGAATACTTTATAAATAAGGATAAAAGCTAAAATTTGTCATTAAAGATATAAATAGGATATCATGCAAAAATGAAATATAATCAAATATTTTCTTATAATGTTAAACATGAATTTAAACAGCCATTGTTTCACTAGTTGCAAAAATTAAGCAAGTTAACAAGATACTAAATGTGGAAACGGTTAACATTTGTTAATTAATATTAGTTGTGTTGTTATATCTTACTCTTTAATGCGTTGAAATCGAAAAAGATTTTTTATTGGTGCTGCAACGAATTGATGAAGACCAAACATATCCATATTTCCCAGGAATTCAGCACATTTAAGTATATAAAACCTCAATGCAACAAATCAGTTTGATGATTAATGTAAATTATTAATTTACGCGATACTTATTTCTTTTTTACCTCATGCTTCATATTTTCAAATTATACACATAAAATATTAAATATTGACAGAACTAATATGTCTCTTATATTAAATGATTTATTCATTCATCATTAACACTACCGCTATCGTTGTCGCAGCACTACTGAATACTGAACCAAACGTTCTTTAACCACTGCAACTAACCAATATGAAGGCCAATGAAGGCGATAGGATAGAAGCAGAAGAAAGAGTACGAAGTAAGCATGTACATATGTATATAGATATTTATAAAAAGTATGTACCTAGATATAACTATCGAGTTACACTAGATCGCATTATTTTTCAATCCTTATTTACGTTCAACATTCTTACTAAATAGTAAATTTATATTCATATTACTTTGTTCATAAATTAAAATACTCGTAAACTTTTATGCGTATATGATAATTTATAAAATTATTAACAGATAGTAATAGGATAATGGAAAAGTAGTAGATTAGTAGATAATCTTTACAGTACAATAGAGTAGTAGATATGTTATATATATCTAGTTTATGAAACATAACATCTGTATAAGATTATACTTAATATATATTAGTTAATGCTATATATAATAATGACATATGCACATACGTATTATTAGCTGATATTTTTTAATTATCCTTTTGAATAATCTTTTTTCGTAGTTTCATTTGGAATTTAATTAACTCGAATTAAGGTTCATATATACCCTTAGATATGTACTGAGTCTCTAGATCATTTTAATGAGATTAAATAATTATACAGATAATTATTTAATGGTTAGACAGTAATTCTTTTTCAGTATGTATATTTGTTTTGTATTAAGAGTCATAATTTAAGAAAGAAAGAATTCAAAAAGTAGTTTTTAACTTCAGTTTAAATTTTAAGTGTACTTTATAATTATAAAATAATTTCCTATTGCAAATTCTTTTTTAGCTTTTCTCGAGTGACTGATCTTTAAATGTAAATACATACATATAATCCATGTGAAAATGTAATAAGTATACTCTAATGTAAATTTCTTATTGAAGCCTAGCATTTTTTACTAATGATATTTTTTTTGGGACAATATAATTGGAAAAAATACTTGAACGCTTTTTAGATTATTAAAAATTATCCGAAATCATATAAACAATTTGTTAATATAATAATAGAACCTTTGTCCTAAACATTTTATTTTTTATTTTTTTGGATATTTTTATATTATAAGTCCTTTAATTTATCATACCAAACGCGCGCGCGCGCGCATGCGCTTGTGTAATTTATGTTACACTGAAATACAAATTATACATATATATATATGTGTGTGTATATATGTATTAATATTTTTTTAATTTTGTATTTTAATAGCATGTTATAATTAAATATAATTCATAAATAATTGTTAATAAAGTAATGGAGGTATAGATATAAGTACAATATGTTTCTCTTATTAACATATTTATTGGTTTGTCGAGATATAAGAAATGATTTCATTAATATAATAATTACAAAATAAAGTTTATAATAAAGAACGACAGAAAAAATATTATAACAGTGTTTAATTATTCGTATTAGTTGTCATGACAATAAAATGTATTAAATAAAATTTGATGTTTCAGTTTCGTCGTTCCGCCAGTTAGTCAGCTTAGTAGAGATTGTCAGCTGTTCGATATATGAAACATTGGTAGTATGAATCTGTACACTGCGTTGTATACATAGTCACTTGTAGGAATCGTCGACACCGAGTTCGACATCTGTTCACAAATCTCGTAGAAGCGTGCGCGTGCGTGTATTTGTATGAGCATACGTACAAGGAAAAAGAGAAACAGATAAAGAGAGGCAATAAAAATAAAGAGAGAAAAGGATATAAAAAGAAATTAAGAAAGAAGTGGATAAAGTGTTCTTACGCGGATCGTCCGTGCGATTTATGCAAAATCTCGTGCATAACGTGGATGTATTGACACAAGGATTAAAATACAGTATATCAGGACTAATGAACCTCGCAAATCAGACTACTGATCCTCAAAGTCGTGTTTTCTTTGTTAACTTCAATCAGGATTGCACGTAAGTGTCGCACCCTCGGTTGTGAAGTGAGGACGTCGTCCTTTATTCCCTAACCTTATTGTTACTTCGTTACGAAGTGAAATTTGTTTCTTTAAAAACAAAATTAAGTATATATCCTGTGTATTAATATATCTTTGTTTCATCAATTACATAAAACATTCTGTACTTTGTGTATACCTACTGACGCGTACATATCTGGATTTCTTATAGTGTTTCTATTCGTCTGCGTTATTCATCTTCGTTTACTTATTATTGATGCGTATTATTGTTGTAGTAGTCATTCATATCGATTACCTTACATATCACTGTTATAAAATGATTATGATCATAAAAATTTTTATATACCTAATGCCTTTTATCATTATCATGTTATTATCTTGGTTTCTCTGCCACTTTTAATTTGTCATCATTGTTTCAAGCTGCCTTGAAGAAAGAAGAATTATTTCCTTATTAATTAATCCGTTATTAATATATAATACTTTATATTTTACAATATCAGTATATTTGCAATAACTATTACTATACTAACTATTACTAATTGCTAATGCAATGTAATGTAATTTAAAAACTTGTTAATGTTTCAAAGCCCTGTATCTTATTGATAATAGTCATTCTATATAAAATTCATTTCAGATCTTTGGCAGTAGGATCAAAGGCAGGCTACAAACTTTTTTCTTTAAGCTCTGTTGACCATCTTGAGAAAATATATGAAAATGGTAACAAATTTTTATATATTTAAAAATAAACATTGAAATTGTTTGTATATATTAGTCATATATACATGCATAGACAAGTATTTTATATTTTTAGAAGCCTTTAATTTAGAAATTATGTTTTCTTAATATATATTTTTTTATCTTTAGTATCTTTTACCATATCTCTTTACTAGATCATCTTTTCAATTATGTATCATTATGTAAACTACAGATACCGAAGACATATACATTGTTGAACGACTATTCAGCAGCAGTCTTGTGGCGGTAGTTAGTTTAAGATCGCCTCGTAAACTCAAAGTTTGTCACTTCAGGAAGGGCACTGAAATTTGCCATTATAGTTATTCTAATACTATTTTGGCTGTGAAATTGAATAGGGCAGTAAGTTTCGTCATATTATAATAGCAGTTATGAATGTATGATAGTATGATAATAGAAACTAGTTTATTTAAATTTTAATTTTAGTTCTTTTCATTGAAATAAATATTTTGTGGATGAAATTAAGTTTGTGTATTATCTCAAAGCTATAAATATATAAAGCTATGCAATAACATTTATTAAACTATTTTTGTAGAAATTAGTTTTAATCTTTCTTTTATTTAATATGAAGGAGACTTGAACATAAGAAACATGAACATTCTTGGAACAACTGATTTAAATGAGACTTCTCCTAAATAATATTAGTTATAGATAGATCAGATGTATCAAATATTTCTATAAACAAGTTTCTGTTAATAAAATGATATACATCATATTATCATAATCTTGTTAAATATATAGGAATTTTAAAGTAATATAAATTTACAGAGATTAGTGGTATGTCTGGAAGAATCATTATATATTCATAACATAAGAGACATGAAAGTGTTACACACAATTCGTGATACTCCACCTAATTTAGCAGGTCTGTGTACACTATCAATAAATAGTGATAATTGCTATTTAGCTTATCCAGGTTCAAACACAATTGGTGAAGTTCAAATATTTGATGCAATTAATCTTGTAAGTATTATAAAAATCTTAACAAAGATGGGGATTATACATTTAAATGTACTTTTTATTTTTAGCAAGCTAAAACTATGATTCCTGCGCATGACAGCCCATTGGCAGCACTTGCATTTAGCCCTAATGGTACCAAAGTAGCTACTGCTTCCGAAAAGGGTACTGTAATTAGAGTTTTCCATGTAAGTTTAATTATTCATATGGCATTAATTATTTGATCAGTTCCTAAATTTAGATGCATTGCTGAAGGTTCTTTATATCTCTGAAGGTTCATGATGGTACAAAACTGTTTGAGTTTCGTCGTGGAGTTAAGCGATGCGTATCTATAAGCAGTCTTGCTTTTAGTGTGGACTCTATGTTTCTTTGTTGTTCAAGTAATACAGAAACAGTGCATATTTTCAAGTTGGAAGAACCGAAGGAAGCGTATGTAATTTGTCATTATTTAACTTAATGCTACCATCAAATTTTCATTTTAACGATTCAAATTTTCTTTTACTATTATCAGATTGCGACAAACAACAGAAGAATCACAAACTTGGATGGGATACTTAACAAAGGCTGTATCTGCATCAGCTAATTATTTACCTTCACAAGTAACTGATGTTTTCAATCAAGGACGTGCCTTTGCTAGCGTCCATTTGCCATTTCAAGGATTAAAAAATGTTTGTGCCATCACAGTGTAAGTTTAATTAATAAATTACGTATGTAAACATATATACTTTTTCTAAAATGTATTTTATTATACAGCGTACATAAAGTACTTAGGTTGTTGGTGGCTAGTGCTGAGGGTTATTTGTATGTTTATAATTTGGACTCAACGGAAGGCGGAGATTGTACATTGCTTAAACAACATAGGTTTGTACTCTTACAATACAATATTTCTAATTTAATTCATATCTCATCAATAATTTTGATATTTAATTATTTTATATTGTACATAACTTCTTATGTATCATGCAGTGCAATTGCATTGCTTGTATTCTATAATCTGTCTGACTTAAATATATGCATGCTATTATTTTTTAACTATTGAAAATACGCACAAATTTTTCTAATTTACCATCTATCTAGTAGTTACAATTTTTTCTAGTATTTCCTTAAAAATCATTGTCTTATATATGATAATTTTCTCTAATAACTTAAATTTTTCTTACATCTACTCCCAGATCTTTCAAACTTTTCCTGAGTTTAACAAAATATATACTTTTTTTAAACAATTGAGTGTATTTACATGAAAATTAAATTTCTATAAATTATTTTAAATTAATTATTTAAAATTCTTTTATAGCATAAAATATATCTATATTTAATGTATGTTATAAGATTAGAATAACTATTCCTAAAATAAGTAAAGATATACTAAATAAATCAATCCATTGTGCTAAAAAACCTTATTGTAATAGACATAAAGTTATTACATTACAATGTACAATAAAATATTATTATTATTATATTATAAAA